ACGTGGCATGCTGGATTGCGTACTTGCTGATACCGTGGCGCTGACTGTCTTTACCTAAAAACAATAAAATTTAAGGAATACTTGGTGAAGGGGTTGAACCCCCCAACCTAAGACTCCACATCAAACGCCTTAACCACTCTGCCAAAGTTTTTGCCTTGTGTTATTATTTTTTCTCAAATAATATTTGACCGTTTCAAAACCAGCATGCAAATAAGGTTGTATTTTTGGTCATTTTTTTTCTTGGTTGTGGACACTCTCCTACCCATTGGCCGGCCATATACACAAATACATTTCCCTAATTATTCCTCCATGGCAAAAAGAGATTTTGTTTGCGTCATTAAAAGGAGTATTCCATGCAACCACCTTGAAAATTTGCCGCCTCCCTATCACATTCTTGTCTCCCACCTTGCTCCCACGTTCTTTTTGACCTTCAACTCTCCCTCATTGCCTATTAGAATATCATATTTGAAGAGAGAGAAGAGGACCACAAAAATGAAAGAAAAAGAGTGAGAAATGGTGAAAAAAGAGAGAAAATACAGTTTTTGAAGCCAAAAATACTCCAATCTTCCAATACACCCCTACCTTCCATACAAACTGAAATTCATCTTTCCTACACCCAAAAAACTCCTCAAAAAATCTTGAAAATAGCTTAAATTTCAGTAGTGATGATCAAAGGAAAGAGTGAGTGTTGTTTGAAAGGAGAAAAAAATAAAAGAAGTTAGTACAACTTTTCCGACATAGTATACTTAGAGTTCCATTCTAGTTTTCAAATTGAGGATTGAGAACACACTTCCCTAAACTTGCAGGGTGATCAAGAAGAAGTTGGGGGAACATCAAGAAGTCAATCTTTTTTGGAAGGTGAATTTCTAGTTCTTTTCATTTATTATATTTTCTATTCATAGTTATTTAAAATAAATCTCGGTTGAGGGATAATAGATCTTTACTGTTTGAGTTTTCTATTTTTAATAATTTTTCATCATATTGAATAATAGATCTTCACTGTTTTTCATCATATTTGACTTTTCTGCAAAAATAAATGTAATGGAAAATTTTCAATTTTTTAGTCTTTTTATTTAGTGATTTTCTTGGGCCATTCAAGTAAAGTTTCTTATTACTGTGTTTAATTTCTTAGACTTTCTCTTCTATTTTTAATCAATCTCGGTTGTAATTGGCTTGTTCTGATCACATCTCTTGTGTTTGATTTGGTTTTTTAAAGAAAAAATTTCGTCATATTGATGAATCAAAATTGAATATGTTTGATGAATCAAATTGATAAACAGATAAAATAATTTTTTCTGTGAATCGTGAATCTGTTTGATGAATTGCTGAGTTGGCAGAGGGAGGAGGAGAGGAAGGAAGGAGAGGAGGAGGGGAAACCGTTGGTTTGGCTGAGTTGGCATGAAATGGCAGCTGCCAAAACTTGTGTCAAATTTGACACAAGTTTTGGCATTTCTCAAATTTAGCAGCTGCTATGTTTTGCCATTGGAGTATCAAAATTCAATGGCAGCTGCTATATTATAGCAATGCAGCTCCAATGGCAAACATTGAGATGCTCTAATAAACAAAGGGTGTGCGATATGAACAGTAGTTTTGTTTTTTTATTTTTATTATAACCTTTATTGGAGTTATGATTTATGAAGTTTATTTTAAAAAACAATATAATTTTAAATTTTTTGAGTTATAATTAAAAAAAAATATCATAATAAGATATAATTAAATAATTTCATGAGTCATAATTAAAGAAAAAAATTAGTCATAATTAAAAGAAAAAATAATAGAAAAACTACCAATAGGTCATAATAGTTGGATTTAATTCTCATCAAGTCATATTGAAAATAAATCTTGGTAAATATCGTTAAAAAAATTTTTTTGTAACAATTTTTTTATATATGTCGCTAAAAATTAGACAATTAGTGAATTTTTTTTGTCATGATTTTTATAAATTGTCGCTAAAACTTCATAATTAGTGACTTTTTTTTAGAATTTTTTTCCCCATAAGATCTATTAGATAATAAGTCTACTTATTAGAATCTACACGTAAGTACTCCAAAATAAATAACTAAGGAGTATGTATTTCACGGGAACAACGTTGATAAGGGAGTACAGTGTAATTTCAAAAGATTTGACTTCTCTTAAATTAATCAATCTCAACTTTAAAGAACGTTCGGACTCAAGTTCAACCAAACATTTGGGCATGATGGAGTATTATGTGAAGGAGTTGTGGACCATCGTGGGTTCGGTTGTGTTAAATCCCACAGTGGATGTTGTGTGTTAAATTAAATGTCTAAATAAAATAAACAACAAAATAAAATAATTTAGAAATTAATTTAATAAATTAAATTCCAAATTACTTGCTTACAGAAATTATAAGTCAAGACTGTGTTGGACACAATCTCCTTATAGTAGATTTCGCTCTCGCTCGGTGCTTCGAGTTTTAATGGACCTACTTCCAAGATACAACGACTACTACTTGATTTGCAGCACTACAAATCAAGTCTTGTGAACCAAACAATGTTATAACTCTTTCTCTTTCATTTTCTAGAAACTAAATGGGAAACAAATGCAGGAGCGCAGAGGACGAACAGAAGAAGAAAATGAGAGTTTTTGGAAAATTTTCGATAGATGGTGGTGTTTGGAAGTCTTGACTTGGATTTTTTTTTTTGATTTTTTTCACAAAAAGACAAACTTTTTTAAAACCAAAAAAAACACATCCAAACAAAAATATCACATCCAACCCCATAATTATTTCACTTTTTCTCTTACAAACATCACATCAACCATAAAAAACCCAAACTATCTTCCCAAACACTAAATTTTTTTCTCCAATAATATCCTACAACTAAAAAAATCCACATAAAAACCCACTTCCCAAACACTCACGAAAGTGGAAAGGTAGGCTATATATAGAAGAAGTGCCTTTTCAGAATAGGTAGAAACCTGTTTGGACAGAATTTGAATCGGTTTAGGTGAATCAACAGGTAAAAAATCTGTTCGGTTTGAATTTCAATAGGTATGAACATATTCGGTGAATTCAACAAGTAGAAAACCTACTCGGGATCTTGTTTGGGTGAAGGAAAAATCTGGACCAATTTATTTTGAATTTTGGAACAAAATTAAAAAATAAATAAAATAAAATACAAATATTTTTAGTCCAAAAAGTAAGTATTGGGCTGGACAAGCCCAACCCAACCTCACACTTCGCACCACGCACCCGCGCTCAAGCCCAGCCCAGCCCGACCGACCGGACGGACGGACAAGGTGATGCGCCGTGTGTGGTTTTTATTTTGGGTCCAATGGGTTCTAGCCCACTTTACCCATAACCTCACCCTCTCAAACTTGGGTATCCTTTGAGGCCCATCCCAAGTATCCAAAGTTAGAATATATATACCCATATAACTCCTTAAGCTTTTCTAATGCGGGACAAGCACATTTCACAAATGTTAAGAAACTCACCTAAAGCCATATCCGTGAACCCTAAAATACGCGTTGAATTCTCATTTATTCGGAAATGGTTTTGAGTAACCAAATACATGATGATATATACTATGAGGCATTAAGCATGAACCTAATGAAAACGTTAAAAATAACACTTGGGTCCACCTTAATTAATGCTCAAAGTTAGCAAAAATAAGGTTTTTCAAAGCCATTCTCCAACAATCCCCCACATGAATGAAATTCACGACAACGGACATCCCACAAATACAGACAAAGAAATAGTACATTAAGCAGATACACCACATCAAGATAGGTAACTTTTGGCTTTGAATCTCTCTAGTAAAACATCGGACTTACTGGTAACCAAGGGACGTGATACCTTGAACTGTTCAGCTGTTTGTAAGTTAAGACAATAGACTACACATAGTGTATTCTACAGACATAGTTTGGTTCTTAGGTTGTGTTCATTTTGGCCTTGAACAACACCTGTAATTCGATGATGCTCTAGAGAATTTAGCCTATCAATTCTCACAGAATCGGCCCAGTTTACACTCATATAGGTGAATTCTTATTAAGAGTATCCTGCTATACCCCACTTGGATGTCCAAGCTATAAGAATCATTAAAAGCAAAGTTTATTCTACTAACGCTGTAGGTATCACTTTTCTTATCATAGAAATGGTAGGAGTAAACCTCCTTAGCGACACGTGAAGTCATCCATAATTCGGTTGTCTTTTGAACCTAAATCTTAGGATCTCCAGTCAACTAGGTTGGGTTACCATTATGGCGACTTTTTAAGTAATAGGCTTTGAATCTCATTCCTTCAATAAATGGTACACTTGCTCTCTGGCATAGCCCTTTAGTCAATGGATCCACAATATTCTCTCTTGACTTTACATACTCTATGAAAATTATTCCATGTGAGAGAAAATGCCTAACGGTATTATGTCTTCGACGAATGTGTCAAGACTTACCGTTATACATATGATTCTGTGCCCGTCCTATTGTTGCTTCACTATCACAGTGAATGCACATAGTTGGCACAGGTTTAGGCTACACTAGAATGTCTTATAAGAA